CTCGGACCCGGGTTGTGGAAATGCAGCGTATAATCTCAGCAAGTTAACCATTACGCCACAATGCCACGAGTGTCCTCAATTCACAGTGTAGATATGACTGGTAATCTAGAAAACCTATTTATAGAGCGAAAAATAAGTAATGTAATCTGATGTATGTATAAAAACTGGGTTTCAAAGAATCCCTTAATACAGTGATTCTCAAACTTTTCCTAGTCGCAGCGGCCTTTTTCAACTGAAATCTTTCAATGGCGCCCTACCCTAAATATGACTATTCGTAAGTAAGAGATAAAAATAAATAATACTCGTGTATCTTCATTATTTTTTTTTACTTTATTAACATTAAATTAATATTTAATAATTATTGTGATGGATGAGCCTGCAAATCACTTCCCATTTTCTCAAATTGAAGCTTTTACAATATTTCGCGGCGCCCCTATAAAGAGGCCGCGGATCCCCGGGGCGCCGCGGCGCACAGTTTGGGAATCCCTGCCTTAATAGATTCATGCTGGAATACCTTTCATTTCGTTTAAAAAAGCGAGTTGAAGGGATTAGTAAGTTGGTTTTACCGGAAGCTATGGGGGATTGCCTTGGAGCTATGATTGTAGATTTGTGCAAATAGGTCCTCGGCGCACCGCCCTGTGACCTTGATGAACCCTTGCTGAGCTTTCGTCCGTCATCTGACGGACATCGTCAGAACAGGACACCATTCTTTACGATAATTCATCAAAAACATAAAGGCATGAAAGGTGGCCGGCTTTCTTCCTTCCTTCCTTCCTTCTTCCTTCTTATATTCCAATTTTGTCCACTTATGCATCTCAATGTTTAGTTGAATGTCCTATGCTTTGCCTTTATAGTTGCTGATAATTTAATGTAAGTGGCTGGATGACATGTGAAGTGGCTACAGATGAAGTGTGAAATGAGTGAAATTGAAAACGAACAGCTGCATCCCTCCCTAAAACACTTATGCCTTAGATACTGCATTGTTATCGCATGTGATGGTGTCCCATTGCACACGTGTTGTGTGAGTGCATTGCTCTGGAAATGGGTGTGGTGTGAGAGTCAAGACCAAATTCCTGCCTAATCAAGCTTCCTCTTGCTCGGTGGTGGGTGAGAGTATTCTCCAAAAGAAGTCTTATTTTCTCTTTATGAATGGTCCTGATGTCCCACCGCCTCAGTGATTCGCCTATCTTTTTCGACAGATTACTCGATGGCAATATAATGATCCTGGTGGAGTGATCTATTTTTGTATCCAGCCCCAAATATGTGTTTCCTTTCATTCTATTTGACATTTTTCTAAAATAGTTTCGACCAACCCCCTGGATAATTATTATCAACCAGAATTTGCCTTAGTCTCCTCAGTTCCTGGTCCCGATGTTTAGCATCTGTCAGACGCAGGCTCCTTATTATCATAGACTCTATAACTTCTAATTTAACCCCATAAGTGTGGTTGGAGAAGAATTTCGAAAGAAAACCTGCATTTTTGGGTTTCCTATATACATTTCGACCTAATCTGGTCCTCTCTTTGCTAACCAGGACATCAAGAAAAGGTAAACCATCTTCCTTTTCTAGCTCAATGCTGAATTTCGTCTTCCCATCGATCCTGTTCATCAAACCAAGGAAATTCTCCAGGTTCTCTTTTTCATGTTGCCAAATAGCAAAATAGTCGTCCATATAGCGAACTAATTCAACGTTCCTCAAATTGAGCCTTGTAATTATTTGCTAAAATTAAATTAGCTAAATCTCGTGTTTGTTCGTGCAGTTTACCATTAAAGGTAAAATATGTACAGTACATCGTTAGGTTGGTCAGTATCATACTTAAATTCATGCTCATTAACATCTCCTCATGTTGGTCTAGTGTGGATTGTAGGGCCTGTATGGCATCATCTACAGGAATATTGGTGTACATAGACTCAACATCAAAACTTATCAGCAAATCCCCACTTTTTATCTCATGCTCGTCGACTAAGTTAACGAATTCATAGAATTCTTAACTGAAAGCTTCCACGTCTCTGAGATTTGCTTTGACTGGTTACAAATAAATCGTGATGTTTCTTGCATCAGGCTTCCCTTATTATTCACAATAATTCTAAGTGGAACCCCATTTTTATGTATTTTGGGCAGACCATATGCATTCGGAGGCCTAGCATCTCGTTTAAAAAGCGTGTTCATCTTATACTTCTCCAGTTCCCCGTTTATTGCACAATGCTGCAGACAACCCCTGAGTCTATACTTAAGGGTATCTGTAAGGCCCATAGTGATTACCTTGTATGCGGTAGGGTCATTCAAAGCCTGCATCATTTTTTTACATTACTAAACCTATCTATAACTACCACTGCTCCTTTTCTGTATGCCCTCAACACCATTTGGTCCTCATCATCCAGTTTCCTTATGATGTTTTTCACTCTCTTGATCCTGGGTATTATTTCTACACGGCTATCAATTAAAGGAACAACTTGGAATTTAATATCACTCCTAGTTTCCTCTGGAAAATGGTCGGTAAAACTTATGAGCTCCACAAAGATCTCCTCCCCATTAAACTTACTGTTTGGCAAAGCAAAGTTCAAACCTTTTTAGAGCACTTTCGCGGTGGTAAAGTCCAAGGCTGTTTTGGATATATTTACCATCGGTACAAGGAACTGAGGAGAGTAAGGCGAATTCTGGCTGATAATAACTATCCAGGAGGGTTGGTTAACAAGTATTTTAAAATATTGTTAAATAGCATGAAGGGAACTACATATTTGGGGTTAGAGAAAAAGATAGATCACTCTACCAGGATCCTCATTTTAAAAAATAACACTAGGAGTTGTTTATCTTGTTTTCGCAACCTAGACATATAGGTAGGAACATATAGAGGATCGCACCTAGTCCGGAGTTGATTATATGCATGATAATTTCCAAAGTCGGACCGTGGATGT